GAAAAACTTGCCAGCTGTCTACACTGGCCGCTTGAATTTCCGCAAAAGCACTGACGATCTCATGTAAGATTGTCAGTGTTTTTTCAGAAATACTATGCTGCTCCCGTTCGGTCAAAAGTCCTTTTGCGCAAAACTTTTGCACAAAAGGGCCAGTGTAGACAGCCCAGATTTGTTTTCCTCAAAAAAGCCCCGATGGCGGAAAAGCGTCCGTGCCAATCTAGATTATTATTACTGATGGTATTTATCACTATTTTGGGTTTTTTTATGTTGTATTTTATTTGTGATTTTCTGAATTAAAACCCTATTATGACTGCATTTAAGCTACAAAATAGAAACATCAGAGCCTTCATACTCCCACACTCTCTTTGTCTCTCTCTGTAGCTCCACGTCCCACCCCTTCTGCCTCAGGACCCTTCTGAGCGGGGTGGGGTGGAGCCAGCCCATGACCAGGTACCAAAATTTGTGAAGTGGTCCACCTGCAAAAATTATTGCCCACACCTAGTCTAAACAATTCTGTACAGCATGAATTCCATGATCTACAAAGGTTACCTGTTTCAGTGCTTATTGATTCTCATAGTTAGAATTTTTTTCCCTAATATGTAGCCTAAATCTCAGTTTTTTTCACTGTAGCACCACACTCAGCTCCATATTCAATTTGTGATTCACTGTAACAGCCACATCCTCTTTTGTAGTATTGACGCACAGACAGTTATTCCCATATTGCATTTGTGTATTTAATTTTTCTTCTTAAGTGTAGGTCTTTGCATATATTTTTATAGAATTTCCTTTTGTTGATGTCAGACCAATTCTCCAATGTATCAAATACAATTGGAATTATAACTCTGTCCTTCAAAAGGCTTGCATCTTTCTCAGCTTGGTGACATCTGCAGATTTCCGTCATCTACTTTGCTTATGAGAATGTCATGTGGGACCATACCAAAATATCTTATAAAAATAAAATATATCACATCTACTACTTCCCCTCTCACCCTACTAACCTGCTACCTTTAGTTCCAGCAGTGCTTCTTCATAAACAATAGTGTCTTGAACAAAACAGCTGTACTGTCCTTCGTCAAAAGGTCTGATATTGAAAATTCTCAAGGCAATACTCCCATTGGGGAGACCATCCTTCAAAAGCTCTGTCCTCCCCTGGTAGTCTGGCATTTGCTTCCCGTACTGGTCCTTCCCATCACAATAGCGATGCACAAATAGGGAGCGCTGGGACCGGAACCACGTCACCTCCATGTTCTCAGCACTCATCCTGGGGGACAGGTGACAGGGTAACACAATGTCCTCACCCACAATGGCGATGACAGGCTGGTCAGGTCCAAATACTTTGAAGTCAGCTGCGAAAGGTACAAGGATAGAATAGAAAGCATGAAAATGTAATAATACATAAAGACAACATGATGTATTTCACGTATTTTATATTCCATGAAACATGAATTTATATATGTTTATAAGAAATAATACATTTGAATATAAATTATTGTTATTCTGGATGTAAGGTGAAACCTCACTGAAGCTAGTGAATATAATACCCACCTTTCATTCAGGATTAACGTTAGAAGCAATGAATGGAGTAAGGTAGCTAAAACAATAGGAGCCATCACTCAAATCACATACCACGTGCAAATCTGGTCAAATGCTGAGCCATGTGGGCAGAGTGCAAATGCAGAGAGAGGCATGGGTCTTGTTATGATGTTCTACCTACCAGCCCTGTGTTCTTGGGAAGCCAGGGAGTGACATTCATGGAAAACCATCCCCTCCCCCAGGTCACAGCTCCCTCCAGACCCTGCACCCTCTTCTTCATCCCTTCCCCAAGCCAGAATCCTTTCCTGAACCCATACCCCCTCCTGGACCCTGCACTCCAATCCCCTGTCCCAGATCACATCCCCCTCCTTCACCCAAACTCCCTCTCAGACCCCACACCCCCTCCTTCACCCCAGTCTTGTACCCTGAGCTCCTTTCTGCACCCCACCTCCCTCCCAGACCCCACAGCCCCTCCAGGGAAAAGTGTGGCCCTTGACCCCTTACCAAAATCTTGGGAGTGCCCCTCCCCCCAAAAATAGATATAACAGAGGTACATCTCATTACCATACAGAATGGAGACCAGCTCTTCCAAGGCAGGAACTGCACTGAACTATGGGATACCTAAAGCAGAGAAGCACGGCCTGATGGGAAATCTCTGCTCCAGATGCTAATTAACCCAGGCCTGCTCACATCCAAATTAGTCATTATGAGACCTATTCTAGTCATGATCTTATTGACATCCAAAATACAGAAACTGCCCAGTTGCATTGTGAGTTCATTCAAGGAACATCACCCATAACCAGGTGTGATCAGTCTCTACTATCTCGCCTCTGTTTCTCTTTAAACTATTATACTATCCCTATAAAAATTCCTACCCTTGCCCAAGATAAACTGTTCTGATATCTGGATTTAAACTGCATGGCTGTGTCTAGACTTGCCAGTTTTTCCAGAAAATCAGCCACTTTTCCGGAAAAACTTGCCAGCTGTCTACACTGGCCGCTTGAATTTCCACAAAAGCACTGACTTCCTACTGTAAGAAATCAGTGCTTTTTGCGGAAATACTATGTTGCTCCTCTTTGGGCAAAACAACAAGAAACCCAGCGAGGAGGCCGGAGCACCTACCTGCCTCCAGCCTGGGAGCCTGCAGAGCCAGGCAGAGCACGAGGTAGCCGGGCAGAGCAGAGCACACTGCAGAGCAGGGGGAGAATGAGGAAACCTTCCCTGTCATCGTCGCTGGGCCTGGGGAACAGGAGAAATAACAAACCAGAGGGCAGAGGGTGGGTGAGTGGGATGCCGAGACAGCACCAGTGTTGTCCGACTCTCACAGCCCTGGCCCGGGGCTCAGTTATGTTTCCATTAGTGCACTTCCCAGTACCCACAGACTAAGAGCAGAGGGGCCATTAGATCATCCAGTCTGCTCTGTGCCCTTGGGATCACCACTGCTTTGGAGGAAGGAATTGTTTCTCTCCCCAGGTCATGGCGAACACACCCAGGTATCTGAGCTGCAGAGCCACTCGGCCTGTTTGGGCTGCACTGAACACATATCCATGGAGGATCTTGAAATGACAACGGGAAGCCTCAATGACTGAGCATCAACTCCTGGAGTAACTTACTTCCCCACCTCTTTGCAGCCACTGGTGAGGCCATCCCGGGAGTACTGCATCCAGTTCTGGGCCCCCCACTGTAGAAAGGATGTGGATGCATTGAAGAGGGTCCAGTGGAGGGTGACCAAACAGATGAGGGGGCTGGAACATGTGACCTACGAGAGGCTGAGGGATTTGGGTTTATTTAGTCTGCGGAAGCGAAGAGTGAGGGGGGATTTGGGAGCAGCCTTCAACCTCCTGAAGGGGGGTTCCAAAGAGGATGGAGAGAGGCTGTTCTCAGAGGGGGCAGATGGCAGAACAAGGAGCAATGGGCTCAAGTCGCAGTGGGGAAGGTCTGAGTTGGATAGCAGAAAAAACTATTTCTGTAGGAGGGTGGGGAAGCACTGGGATGGGTTCCCTAGGGAGGGGGTGGAATCTTCATCCCTAGAGATTTTTCAGTCCCAGTTTGACCAAGCCCTGGCTGGGATGACTGAGTTGGGTTGGTCCTGCCTTGGGCAGGGGTTTGGATTTGAAGACTCCTGAGGTCTCTGCCAGTCCAAGGAGTCTAAGAAGAGCAACAGCCCGGAACTTGAGAGCAAAGGGGCAGGTGTCCAGTGTCTGTGTTAAAGAACTAGACTCACGGGAACAGAGGAACTTACTTGGGGCTGAGACACAAAAGGAGACGGAGAGTGTGAGCCAAGCTGGACCCCAGCAGTGCAGCTCAGTGGAGCCCCAGCTCTGGCCACCTTGAACCCTCCTTTAACATTTGCTGCTCTGTGCTTAGCTCAGGACTTTCATGTTCCACAGGCCGGTGACAACACGTCATAACTTGGTCTAGAAAACGCTGCCTGGTGTCACTGCAGATACCCACTGAGCATGTGGGGTTCTCAAGGGTAGAACAAGTCTGGCAGGGGTTGGGCTTGGTGGGACTTGCTGCAGGAGCCGTGGAGAAAGCCAGGGATCACTGGTGATGAAAAGCTCAGTCTCTGAGCCACTGAGGCCAGGGATTTGCAAAAGTGAAAGTAAGGTGGTGCGCCCGTGTGTGCCACTCCGGTGGGGAGACGACTGGCACTGGGGTGCTCTGCTGCAGGTGGAGGAGGGGCTGCATGTGGCTCACTCCCAGATGGATTCCTGACAGCTCCCAAGGCTCTTCTGCAGGCGGGCCATGTGGGCAGTCCCAGGTACCACACTAAGCAGCACACTGCCAGGCACGTCAGAAGGGATGGCTGGAGGCGCACTGTGCGAGATGTGCATGCTCCCAGGAAAGCTTCTGGTGACATGCCCACATCCCAGACCCTTCTCTCCATGTCAGTTGGACACTGGGCAGCACAGGAACAGGAGCGCTGTGGGGCAGTGACCCATCCACCAGCCAGGCAACCCAAGTCAGCCCTGACACGTCCCCTGCCCCCATGCCTCAGGCCTCAGCCACAAGCCTCCCCCACATGCTTCCCCTACATACACATCCCCCAATCTCCTGCTCTGAGTCTCCTATGTCCCCATCATTCCCAGCCCTCTGCACTGACCCCTGCACCTCCACACTCCCAGTCCCCTGCCCTGAGCCTACTCCCCATAGCCACACACAACCTAACTGCCTACCCTGAGGTCCCCTCCTTGCCCCAGGGGGCTGTGGTTTGACAGTGCTTGTAAGACATTTCAATTACTTTTACTCCTTACTTACCTCTGGGCAGTGGTGTGGGTCGTGGGGTCCAGCCCAATAAAAGGGCCACTCCCGGGGGCCTGGCTGAGAGCCGGGCACAGACCGGACCATGTGCACCCTTGACAGAAACTTCAGGGGGTAGCCGAGTTAGTCTGTTACAGAAAAGAACAGCAAGTAAATGGTCTGGTAGCACTTTATAGACTAACAAAACATGTAGATGGGATCAAGAGCTTTCCTGGGCACAGCCCACTTCTTCAGATGACCGGAATTATGATTAGAGGATAAGGAAACTTGAAATAAATAGGAGAAGGGAAGGGGGGGGGGGAGAAAGATGTTTTGTTGCCCACCCCCTACCTCTATGCATAAAGTATCAGGCGAAAGGGTGCTAACCCTGAGTAAAGATCAAAGTCAGTGGATGGATAAGACAGGAAGGATACCATTCAGAAAGTAGTTAGCACCTTCATTGATAAAGGTTCCACCACCCCATATCTTGATTAAGTCCATAATTAATTGAATTGAATTTGCATATGAATTGTAATTCCAAGCTTTCCCTATGGATTTGACTGGAGGAGCTGGCCTGTGACAAGACCACCACCTTCAGATCTGTGAGATTACGGTTAGGTAAACAGAAATGTTCTACCACTGGCTTCTGAGTATTTTCTTTACGTACATCCGATGTGTGTCCATTGATTCTTTCCAGTAGAGAACGTCCAGTTTGACCAATATATATAGTAGAGGGGCACTGTTGGCATTTGATGGTGTAGATCAAATTACTAGATGAGCAGTCAAATGACCCTTTGATTTTGTGCCTTGACAGAAAGTCACTGTCACTCTGCTCTGTGCCAGACTGAACAGACTGACTGGCAGTCTCCTATGGAGCAACATTCGCTCCAGCACCCAAATCATGCTTCTGATGCTTTTTGGCAGTCTCGGGTATGTTGGGGTGCAGGCCATACCCCAGTAACGGGGTGTATCACTGCCCCAGCCTCCCCTCCCCGGAACCTCCCAAGTGTGGCTGCTCAGAGGCCTGGGAAACCTGCCCAGTCCCGTCAGAGCAGTTCTGAGCTGAGCTCTTTGGAGATGCAGCCAGGGGACCCTCTGTGCCAGGGAGAGGTAAAGCCAACCATGTCCATGCCAGGAATAAGGCTGCAAATGAGTAGTTGATTAGTAGATTAACTGATAAACCTAGGCTTATCAGTTAATCTAGTCAACTACTCGCACTCCCCGCCTTGCTGCCTCTGTAGCGGAAGCAGCAAGGGAGAGGGAAGCAGGAGCCGGTGGTGGGTGGGGAGTTGACTTTCCCCCTAGCACCAGCTCCGTGGTGCCACCTGTCCTCATCCCCGTGCTGCTGCCTCTATCAGTGGCAGTAGTGCGGGGCGGGAGGAGGGGGAAGAGGGCAGCGGAGGCAGCCACAAAGCAGCCCCTGCCTGTGGCAAGCCCAGGTCATTGTAGAGACTGCTTTGGGGCTGCCTTCTCTGCCCCTCCCCCAGCAGCCTCGGTCCATGGGGAGCTCAGACCACCTGTGGACAGGGGATGCTGCCACCCCACACCGCTGCCTCAGTATCATAGAATCATAGAACCATAGAGCT